GTGGGTGGGCGCCGCGGGGGGGAGGGTCCCGGGCGAGGTGGATCGCAGGGGCACCGGACTGGGTCTCAGAGGTCCCACAGAGGCATTTGAGTTATGGGGGTTTGTAACAGTAATTAGCAACAGCCAGGCGTGACAGTAGTTACTATACATATGTATTTTTAATGTTTTACTCATGTTACCTCATTTCATTCTCAAAGGCAGGAGCAAGAGGGCTGGACCACTAGCCTTGCTCTATTACAACCCCACTTTACAAATGAGGGTCAGTGACTTGCTTAAAGTTCCACAGCTTGCACGTGCCTTCTGTCCCTAGAACTTTCACTTTGGAAAGATTGGCTAGGGTTGTGACCTGGGCCGGGGCCTCTGGATTCCAGGAGAGCCCACTGTCAGTTGTCTGCAGGTGGGGTTACGGCAGCTGGACATGTCGCTGCTGTGCCAGTTGTGGGGCCTGTATGAATCAATCCAGGACTACAAACACCTGTGCCAAGACCTGAGTTTATGCCAGGACCTGTCATCTTCCCTGCACTCGGACAGCTCCTATCCACCGGATGCCGGCCTCTCTGATGACGATGAGCCTCCTGATGCCAGCCTGCCTCCTGACCCACCACCCCTCACTGTTCCCCAGACACATAATGCCCGAGATCAGTGGCTGCAGGACGCCTTCCACATCAGCCTTTGAACAGCTGGGGTGGGTGGGAATGCACCCATGCAAAAGGGTCAAAACTCGCCCCTGAGCATGTCCTCAGAAGACAGTGCCTGCTCTTCCACCTGTACCTCCTCACCTCAGGAGAGCCAGGCATATGCCTCTCAGGCAAAACTGCCAACCCCTTCCTGGTTGGTTGGCACTGGGTGGGCACCTGGGTTGCCATGATACTGGGCCTCTTCTCTACATATGTGCACCCCCAGCTTGGCTATGGGGCCCGAAGTATCTTGCACTCTCCTTGGCATCACTGGGATTGGGATGAGTGCCTGGCTCCTATCTTTTCATCTTTTGCTGCTAATGGCAGCTGCTGGCTCAGGGGCATTCCACCTCTGGTCCCTGGGATCCACTGCCCTGAATAAGGGCCTCAGGACCCATGCCTGCACACATCCAAGTCCATAACAGGCTAAGGCCCCATGCTGGATATTTTAAGTTTAGGGGCCAGCCTCCTGGGCTGGTAAATAAATAAATAAATAAATAAACAAACATCCCTGAGTTCCTGTTCTGATTGCTGCTGGGCAGGAATGTAGCGGCTTCTGACAAGTGAGTTCCACATTTCACCGGCAGGTGGCGTCTGAGACCCCCGAGTGAAAGGGGCTTACCAGCGGCGGCTGCGAATCATTCTCCCCCAGCGCAGTTGGGAGCGTTCCAGGCTGCCCGAGCCTGGCTCCGCAGCTGTAGGACTGCGGTGGAGTCACTTCCCCTCTCCCACTGGCGGCTTTCTCGCCCAGCCCCCCTTTCCCAATCGCTTTGGGTTTTCCTGGCCCGCCGGGAAGGAAGGAGAAGAAGCCGCCCATCTTGAGGAGAGAAACTTTCCACCTCGAGTGGGGGCGGAGTTGGTGCAACACAGGAAATGGGTGGGCCGGAGCGGCGCTCCGGGGGCCCCTCGGCAGGAGAGGGGAAAGCTCAGGAAGGCACTGGAGCTCGTGGCTGTGGAAAGAGCTATGGAGGCTGAAGGGAGTGTAGTTTCGGCCTCAGTAGGGGCCAGAAAAGCCCAGAAGATGAGGGCAGGGCCCCAAGCCTGGGTGTAAGAGACTCAGTGTCAGTGAAGCGAGATTGGGGTCCCAGACACCCTCATTGCACACTTTGTCTCATACACATCGCACGGCTCGTCTGCTCCCCACACACTTTGCACTAAGGACTTTCATGTAAAGCTCTTCCCCTTACTCCGGAAACCGAGAACCACGCTATTGGGACTGAAAGCCATAATCGGGTGTCAAGCCCACCGGAAGAAGCCAGCACATTCATGAGGTTGCACACTTCAGGCTTAACAGGCAGCTCACCCCGTACTCTGCAGCACAGTCACCTGCCTCCTGGAGTTGCAACTCAGCTGGAACTCCTGGCAGATCAGATGTCCTGATCAAACCAAGTACCAAGCATCAGGGTCCCCTGTCAGTTCACAAACCTGACAGGGCAAAACGCAGGTCGGGAGGAAACCCACCACCGATGTATTGCCCCAGGCCAGTTCTCTTAAGTCAGGGTTTGACTTCTGCAGATGCTCATGCCCCTGCTGGGCTGGTGGGTGGGCAATAAAAACTCTAACTTAGGTGTTAAGTCTGCAGCTAAAGCAGGGTGAGGGGTGCATTTCCCAGGGGAGAGAAAGTAAACAAACATACCATACATGCAGGCACACGTTTCTTTCCTGTCCATGATAACGGATTTCATGAAATGATGCCTGTCAAAATTAGCCAGGCTCTGTGATAAATGCTTTCTGAGGTTTCATCCTCTCAATGACTCTATAAAAGACAACTATAGTTATCCTCATTTAACAGTTGTCAAAACTGAGGCTGAGTGTTAGTACTTTGCCCAAGTCCACACACTTGAGTTGGAGTCAGGATCTGAACCTCCAGCTGCTTGTGGGAGGTCGAGGCTGTCTTCCCTCTAACAGCTGAGGAGTCAGGTTCTGAGAGACTGGGGGATGGGTGCTGCCCACTGATAGGGCACCAAGGTTAGTCCCTAATTCCGCTTGCTCCTTCCTGCTCTGGTTAAGGCATGGATGGCAGCCATGCCAGAGTTGAGAACATTTGAATCTGGCCCAGACTATCAGGAAGACCCTGAACAAGTCCCTTCCCCTTTTTGAGTCTCTCTTTTCCTAGCCTGTGAAATGGGGTCACGAGTAAGAAAGGACAGCAAGCAGGAAGGGAGGCGGCCAGGAGAGCACTCCTCCAGGGCGGCACGAAGTTGCCAGTTGCCCGCTGTCCCGGACCACGCGCTTCCATCCGGACCGCGCGTCCACGCCGCCTCTGCGCGCATCAAACGGGCACTACAGTCGCATGTCACCACCTCCCACCCCCTACCGCCGCCCCCCGCGCGCGGGTCGCGGCTCGAGGCCCCGGAAGCCGGGTCGCTCCGCCCCCCGGCTCTCCTGCCCCGGCTCCCGCCCCGCGCCCGGGCCCCGCCCGCCCTCCGACGGGGGTGCGGCTCCAGGAAACGGCGCGCTCGCCGCTCCGCTCTCCTGCCAGCCCGACGCGCCTCAGACCACCCCGCCGACTCAGCCAGACCACCGGGCGGCGGCGGGGACAGCAGCCCGGCGTCCGAGCCTCAAATACTTCCGCACGGACGGGGCGGGCAACGCGGATAGGAGCCCCGGACACCATGGGTACCCGGGCAGGGCCAGTGATCGCAGGCCAGCGGGAAACTTGGGCCTGAGAAGTGGGCAGCAGGAGCGGAGGGGGCCATGACCTCTGTGTGGAAACGTCTGCAGCGCGTGGGCAAGAGGGCCGCCAAGTTCCAGTTTGTGGCCTGTTACCACGAGCTGGTGTTGGAGTGCACCAAAAAATGGTGAGTGGGAGGGAGGCCTGAGGGACCATTCCAAGATTGGCTGGGACGCCGCCATCAGGCGGTTTGAGCCTGAGAGAACTCTGCCCGCCAGCCCAATAGCCAAAGGGTTCCATCCCAGCTTGAGCCTGGGGTGCCAGACTGAGGGGCTCAGAAGTGCCTTGCAACTTGTGGAACCCCTAGAGTTGGGGGTGTGGGAACCCTCTTGGGGCTGGGGTCAGGGCTTGGAAGCCTGAGCATCTGTCTGTGCCCACAATTTCATCAGCCGTGGTCAGGGCTTGGGGAGGGAGGTTGGGGGGGTTGGGGCCAGAGAGATGGTAAGGCCCGCACTGGAAAGTTGCAT